CCTCCCTAACCCCAGGGGTCAGGGCCAGATTGACACCATAACCCACAACCCTGATCCTCCTTCAGTCTCTTTAGAGGTGCACCCGGCCGGCAGTAATGCGGCCCGCACTTTATTCATTTGGAGATCAGCCAAGCTGAAAAGATAAGCTCTGAATAATTGCAGCCCTCGGACCAGGGAGAATCTGATGGGATCTTCGGGTCTTTAACTTTTTCTCCCTCTCTTTGTACCCTCTTAGAACTGGAGGACACCCCTTGTTAGATTCAGGCAGCCAGATGGGCAGGAGAGGAGTGACATGAACTGTGGTGCTTTAGAGAGAGGGATGACTGGCTGTAGGGACCTGTCACTCACGTGCAGGGGGAGTCAATGTGGAGCTTAATGAATCCTCCACAGCCACCAGTGGACAAGACGAAGCTCTGTGTGGACACCAGACTGCCAGACAGTACACCATCCTGCCTCCTTTTCACTCTTTTTTTCAGTCTTTGCCTCTCTCATGGCCACCACTTTCATCCTGGTAAAGTTTAAGAAACACTTTTTATGTAGTTCCCAAGCAGTTAATTTTATTTTCTGCCTTTACTTGATGGTTTTCATTTTAAAAGGAAGACATGTCCAAATTTCAAGGAAAACATCTTTGATTTAAAACATAAAATTCATAAAATAACAAATACAGTTTTACACAAGGTGTTCCTGGATGGCATACGAGACGTTTACAACAAACTGTTGAGCTGTGGTGCCACATAAATATCCCCATGAGACATGAGATAATTCATTAATAGAGTGGTCATATCTCTCTGGGAGGCGGGACACTGGTAACAATAACACATGAAAATGAGACAGTTTGCTACTGTGGCTGCTGTAGTTAATCATCCCTCTGTCAAATTAGCCTCCAGCCCTGCATGGAGGACAGCACAGCAGATAGACAGGGCATCGTTAGCTGCACTGTGCAACAAAGGCCTAGCAATGGGGAGGCTGCAGCTATACTGGTAATGTCAGGTCCCAGGTCAGCTTGGTCCAGAGCCAGTGGAAGCCCATGCTGCGCTCTGCCTGTCCGGTGTTGTCATAACAGAGCAGTTGTACTGTATGAGGCCACGAGGAAAGACAAGACCGGCTGCAGCCTCCTGAAGACAGGCAGAACAACAGGACCACACACTCGTTTCTCATTAACATCAGCCAAAGTATTGTTCTTTTTTTTCTTCCTTTTCACATGTTCTGATACGGACCTACTCAGAGTAACAGAATAAGCGTAATGTAGCTTAAATTACTCTGCCATGGGGTGTCTGGGAAAGTTACTTCCAACATGTAATCAGTTTCAGATTACACATTGCTTCTTTGTATTAGCTTTGTGAATTTATCCATTGTGATAACTTGGCATAGATAAGTAAATCCCAGATCCCAGTAAATGAAAAATCTAATCCCTTGTCATTTGTTTCTCTGTAATACTGAAAGTTGTCTACTTGTTTTTCCACAACACTGATTGCAAAATATTGACCATTACTGCACATAATTATTGTTGTCTACTCAAATGAATAAAAGTTGTAACTCTTATTACAGTGTTCTTTCCAAATCTCTTACAGTAATATGTATATAATAGTAATTACAGAATACAGGAATCCACCTCGCCTAATGATTGCTGATTAAATGCAAGCAAAGTAATCTGAATGTGTGTGTTGACGAGCTGGACAGCAATCATTAGCAGTGTTCATTCTGGAGACTTGTCCTCCAGCCATTTTCCCCCTTTGTTGGCTTGTACTTTGACAGAGGCCAGGCATTGTGAAACAAAATAATCCTGATTATTACAATAACATCAGACACTGCACGAGACCTCGCACTGAATCAAATGTCAGGCTCGAACAAATCTCCAGACATCAAGTCAAACACAATATTTTCTCTGCCCAATCACAAGGGCACATTGCTTCCTGTCCTGGAGACAGTGTTACCCAGTGGCTTCTTGTTTTCCATAAACCTTGTTTCCTGTGTTACAGGGCATTTTAATGGAGAAAAAACAATAATACATGAAGCACTCACTCATGCCATGTTTACAGTATTAGTAACAGAAATAGTTTTCAGCAAGACAGAGCAGAGAACATTGGTGTAACTTGAACAGGAAATTTGATTATTGGAAATTTGAGAAACAGCTTTTTAACCGTCTGGTAATTAATGTGTGGCAGAGACATTTTGATAAAAATTGATTTATGGTACTGCGTGTTCATCACTAGCAGATAAGTATCATCTACAGCTGGACTGTCATAAATATACTGTTAATATTGGAATGGGACGTACGTCTTAATTCATTACTAAATTATATATAATAAAATTATAAAGAAGCACAGAGGTCAAAGAAAAAATATAAATACAATTAATTGTACACCACTGTTACACAGCAATATTGTTTTACTGGGTCTATAAATTTGATTATCTTGTGTGAACATTTTATTACCAAAATTGTC